TTCGCAAAAAAATTAAAAAATAAAATAAAAACAATAAAAATAGGTGGCTGAAATGGTACACATTTTTGATCCTAGCACTCAGGAGGTAGGGTCAGGCAGATCTCTGAGTTCAAGACCAGTCTGGTGTCTGGTCTACAGAGCGAGTTCCAGGATAGCCAGAGAAACCCTGTCTTGAAAAACCAATATATATATATATATAATTAAAAATTAAATTAAAAAGTTTATTCTCTACTCTGTATTGAGGTCAAAGCCATCACAATGTACAGATACTATGTTTCAGAAAACTGAAATTATAAATAAAATCATTAATGAATGAAAAGTTTCAAATATCAGCATATAATTAATAAAAACTTCTGTGATCCAAAATAGAAATACATCTTCAATGAATAATTTGACTTATATCCAGATAGTTTAAAAGCATTGAAATTGTCCCAAATAATTTTTGATGTATCTTCTCCCCCACCTGTATTTTTGAGAAGTGAGAAATAAAAATTAAATGACCGTAATATATATTAATTTGGTAAATTGTCTTAGGCTGTTTGACTTTCCCAAGGTGCTGGTTTTGAACACAGGGTTTTCCACATGAATTTTATGCCCAAGGCTGTTTTTCTCATGATTTTCTCTGATTATCCCAGATAGAAAGATTGACCTATTATCTATTTATTTATATCTACATATGTGTGAATGTATCTATCTGTCCATCTATACATTATTCACCTATTATCTATCATCTATCTATCTACTATGTTATGATACATATGTTTGTATATATGAATATCATCTATCTAATTACCTATTATCCATCTACCTCCATATACATGCATCATCTATCTACTGATATATCTATCACCTATGTATTTATTGGTCATCTACATATAATCACCACCTATCTCTTGATATTTATTATTTTACTTTGGCTTGCCACACACTAAATACATTCACTCATTATAAATTAAAAGTGTGGCTGTCATATGTTGTTCTGTGGACCATACAGAGCAAAGTGATTTAAGAATCATGAGGGAGCAGAAAGGTTGAGTCAGGAGAAGAATAGAAGAAAGGGTATGTGATAGGTAGGGTTTTAGTTGGAGGGTGATAAGGGAGGACGAGGGAGAAGGGAACTGGGATTGTCATGTAAATCAATCTTGTTTCTAATTCAAATAAAAAAATTTGAAAAAAAAAAGAATCCTTACTTAGTGCTGTGGGTGTTCACTGACATGAGCATTGCCTGAGAACATGTTTCTCTGTCCACAGCCCACCACATAGATTGTTTTGTCTATTTTGTTTGATATCTTACTTGACATAAAAATAGAGGAAGATTTTCTTGCATTTCTTCATACATTCAATGTGACGGAAGTAGGTCCTCAAGGGTGCACCTTCACTTATCTTCTCCACAACACTGGAAGCTAAGTAAACAGTTCTCCAATTCCCATTAACCTGGAAAGAAAAGTGGCTTTGGAAACAATGTGGGTAAGAGTGGGGATAATTTAGTAACCTGGGACTCAGCTTGGATGGGGTAATACATGACTTGATCTTGTAATAATGCATTAGTCGGCTTAGCTTCTTTATGTTCATGCTGTGCAATTAATCTCACAGTGATTTTAGATCCCCTAACACCTCTTTCAGATAACTCACAAACCCCTCTCTGAACAATGGTGTAGAGTTCTCCATATAACAACCTCTTCTGTCCTCTACTCATTTGTATCAGGCTACTTTTACACCCATCTATGAGAAATTGTGTAGTGCTTTCCATATAAGAGCTCCTTAATAACTCCCTCCCCACCAGCGTCTGACTACTCACATGTCTGTCTCTCAAGATGGTGTAGGGTTTCCCACATTCCTATCAATGATCAAGTCCAGACAGTTTCTATTCAAGTATATTCTCAATGTATTCAGGTAGGAAGAAAAAAATTACTGATCTGGCCTAAACTGGTTTTGGATGTATGCCCAGTAAGGCAAAAACTTGTTCTTTAGATAACCTTACCCTACTGGCCACTTTATGCTTTGTGTAATATTGGGCAGATGCCGTATGGTTCCCCTTCCCCTACTGGCCACTTTATGCTTTGTGTAATATTGGGCAGATGCCGTATGGCAAGGTACATATGCATTTGGAGAAATCAATGATTTAATCTGATAATCAAAAAATCAGTCCCTTTAGTAACCAGCTTGTCTGTCTTTGGGGCACCTGGAAGAGATGCACATAATAGCTTGGGGCCCTTGAGTACTGTCAGTCATGTGGCCAACTGTCAATCTTGACAATGTGTCTGTCTGTAATCTGCACTCTAGCTTTGCCTTGAATGGAGTAAACTTGCTTTTTCTGCAGATCTGCGTGAGTCCTTACTTTTAATTTTGGATAATAGGCCAAAGTAGACAGTGGGCACTGCAAACTGAAACATTAGTACCAATTCACCCTCTTTCAATTATTTCATTGTATCCATCATCATGACTTTCATTTCTTCACAGCGTGAGGGACATGAGTGGAAATGTAGGTGTACAGATTTTCTGGGAAAGTTGAACTCACCCTTGGTGTCAGACTGATGGTCATTCTCTCTTTGTCTCTCTTTCCATCTCTCTCTCTATGTTTGTCTTTGTGTCTCTCTTGGTATCTGTCCCTATCTCTCTGAAAAACTACCTGTTAGATCATTTTCTGCCTCTCTGCCACTCTCTAATCTGAGACATCATGAATACTTACTTCCAAACATTCTTTCCTCTCTCCCATCTCTCGCTGTCACATAAAGACACACAGAAAACTTCCATTCAGAAGCATTAATCTCTGTGTATATCTCTGTCTCTTGCCCTCTTTCTCAGTGTCTCTATCCCAGAAAACCACCATTTATATAATTTTCTCTCTTTCTCTCTACTCTCAGATGTATAGAATACTAATTTCTAGAGCACTATCTCCTGTCTGACTGACTGTCTGTCATCTATCTATCTATCTATCTATCTATCTATCTATCTATCTATCTATCTATCATCTATCTATCTATCATCTATCTATCTATCTCCTTTCTTTCTTTCTTTCTTTCTTTCTTTCTTTCTTTCTTTCTTTCTTTCTTTCTCTTTATCTCTGTCCCTCAGTTTGTTTCTTTCAGAAAAATAGCCACTATCCCTACCCTGTTTGTTACTCTCCACTCCCAGACATAGAGAATACTAACTTCCAGAATGTTCTTTGCCCCTCTCTTTAACTTTCTGCCTCTTTCTTTCTGTCTGTATCTGCCTCCCCTCATAGGCTCCTAATGCCTCTCCCTGTCTGCATCTGTCTATTCCCAGTACCCCCACTCCCACACAGCCTCCTCCCATGGAGGCCTGTTACCTTCTTTCTGATACTCTTATTCATCACACTGGAGATGCTGAGCAGATCCAGCATGAACAAGAGGATGAGGACCCTCATCATGTGTGAGCGACTGTGTCCAATTTGCAGCTGCCCAGACCACACTGATAGACAGGGCTCACAGTCACCCCCTTGCCTTTTATATAGCAGCCTGTCAGAATGACTGGCTGGAGCAGTGTCCTGCATCCCAGTTGGCAGTTGTATGCTGACATTGACATTGGGTCATTTACTATGCAGAATTGTTCCTGGAGAACTTTACTAGGACTGGACAATTAACTTTTATTGTCAGTCTGATGCTTGATGCCTGTTCCATGTTTCAGGTATATTTTTATTCATTGGTTTATGTGCCTATTAAGAAAACAGAGGATGAAAACCAAGATGCTATCATATAATTTCAACTGGAAGGGACACTCTTTAAACCTGATTTCTAAACTTAAAACTTACATGTAGCTGATGGTTAAACAAAAATGCAATTTCTCATCTCTACTTGGACTTTATTTTCCGGGCACACCCAGTTCCTATACTTTGTAAAGCTGTGTGAGGATTTCTCTCAATTGAGCTTTCTCATTTTTTGTTTCAACCAACATTTTGGAATCCATTCCCTATTATCCGTTCCTCCAGTCAGAGGTTGGGGGAAGAATATCCAGTCTTACCATTTTTTTTGTCTTTTAAAAAATATTTATTAGTTCAAATTAGAAACAAGCTTGCTTCACATATTAATCCCTTCTCCCTCTCCATCTCCTCCCCCGAGTCTTACCATTTTCAATCCAGTTTTCAATACCCATGAACTTGAACCATGAATGAAATATTAGGAACACTGGGGAGGCTCAAATGGACTTGTGGAACCCTCTAACATAGGCACAAGTCACATTGTTGACATGACCAATGGCAGCATTTAACTGGCAGAAGAGGAATTCACAATTGTTTGTGGAACTTGAGGTTCTAGCCTTTGTCTGTTTAAATAATGTGATAACATGGAGCACACAGTCTTGATTCCCAGGATAAGGTTTTGCTTCTGTAGATATAATTTAATGTTATTTGTTCACATACCATTACTCAAATTTAATCACCTATCAATCATGACAATTATGATATGTAACCTAAGTAACATCCAGAAAGCTTATTTTATAATCAGGTATATTTAATAATTTCAAATTCTTTTATATTTTGTTATTTATTTTGAGTGCATGTGTGTGTATCCAGCTGTGTGGGCCCGGGTTTTCAGACCTGGCAGCAATCACCTCTATGTAAAGAGCCATGTCACTAGTCCCAGGTTTCAGGAACCTGTGTTGATGAAAGTTTTGGGAACTACAATCCATCCATATGTCAGAATCCATTAATCTGAAGGTAGAGATTCAATATATGAACTCATGACATTTTAATTGTGTTTAATATAAAATAATGTATACATATACTGGTTTTCCTCTTAAAAGAGATAGTATCTTTTTTTTGCATAGAATCGCCTGTAATAGCAAAAAGCTAGAGAAGCAAATGTTTGCTTTTGACTTCTCTATCTACTTGCACGTGAAAGAAAAGAATCATGAAAACACTCGATTTCACAATTAATTTGATTCTCAGTTGTATATGTAATAAAGTGTCCTTATTGGTTTACTTGTGCAGAATGCATTTTAAAATTTATTATTTATTTTGTACATGGGACTGGGTATGTTCATACCCTGATATGTGTGGATGTCAGGAGATAACAGGTGGGAACTGGTTCCTGTCTTCTACTAAGTAGGCCATAAAGATTGCACCCAGTTATCATTACAGAATTAGATGTCTCACATCTCATGAATATAGTTCTGAAATACAATTTGGAAATCATCAAGATCTACACTATAGTACAAAAATTATTCAAGTCAATATTTCTTTTTCCCTCTTTTAATTTTGATATCTCTGGTGCTGACTGGAGCATTACAAAAAATAAAGTTGTGAAAGTAGAAAGAGCAACATACAGAAGGAAGGGTTTATTGGGGATCATTATATCGGAGGTATCAGTTTCCAGCACCATCATGGCAGCAGCTGGAGCCAGAAGCTGAGGGCTAACATCTTGATCCATAAGTTAGAAACAGAGCAAGGGGAAATGATGGAAGACTTTGAAACCTCAAGCCCCATCCCTCAGTGACATACTTTCTCAAGCAAGTTCACCCCTCCTAAGCCTCCCCAAACAGCATCACTTACTGGAGATCAACTATTAGAAGGGGTAGGGATTGGATTGATCAAAACATACTATGTGCATGTATGAAATTCTCAGTTTTACAAAAAAAGGAATTTCAGCATATATTTGAGAAGAAAAGCAGGAATCTGAACATTTTATAAAATAGCAATTCCATTCTTCCTTATATATAATTTTTGAGCTATTATGTTCCAGAACCAATGTGGATACAGAAAATTAATGATATTTTAATCTGCTTTTATTGCTACACCTGTGAGAATTTCCCACAGGACAATGAAGGTTGTTTTGAAAATAAAATGTTCTCAACTAGGCATGGTAGTACACATCTTTGATTCCAGCAGTCTGGAGACAGAGGCAGGAGGATCTTCATGAATTCAAGGTGAACCTGGTCTACATAGGAAGTTCGAGGTCAGCCAGGGCTACATAGTGATACCCTGTCTCAGGAAAAAGAATACATAAATATGTAAACAAACAAATACATAAGTAAATAAAAATTCTTGTGGTGATATATTATTTATGATTTATTAAAGCTTGCCTGAGGACTGAGAAAGCAAAGTCAGCCACAAGCTATAGAGGTCAGGTAGTGGTGATACACACCTTTAATCCCAGGACTCAGGAGATAGGCAGATGGATCTTTCTGAGTAACAGAGCTCATGCCTTTAATCCCAGCACTAGGGAGGTGGAGACAGAAGTGATATGGCTGGCAGAGAAAGGAATATAAGGAGGAGGAGACAGGAACTGAGAGCTTTTTGCCTCTGAGGATTTGTGGAGACAAGATTGCCATTTCAGCTTGATTACGGTAAGATCTACTGGTTTGGCTGCTTTGCTTCTTTGATCTTCAGCTTGAAGCTTGAACCACAATATCTGTCTCTGGGCTTTTATTTTCATGTTACATATTCTCCAGAAAAATGTGTCTGTTTTTTTATAAGTCATGTGTGCCTGTGTGCGTGTGTGCGCGCACATGCTCCTGTTAGTGAAGGTATGCACATGTCAAACAAACATGTGAAGGCCAGAGGTCAACCTCAGGTGACAATATTTAACTTCCGTAGACAGCGATGGTTTACATTTGATGTTGCAGTTACCAATGGCTTTGATTTTAAGTAGAACTTAAGTAAAGTTAGACATTTGAGCTTTTAGTAAACAGAAGAGCAGAATTCATATGAAGGCTGGTAGTCCTCGATTCTATAAGAAAGTAGTCTGAGCAAGCCATAAGGAGCAAGCCAGTAAGCAGCACCCTTCCATGGCCTCTGCATCAGCTCCTGCCTCCAGGTTCCTGCCCTGTTTGAGCTCCTGTTCTGACTTCCTCCACTGATGGACTATTGTGCAGAAATGTAAGTCCAATAAACCCTTTTCTCCCAACTTACTTTTGGTCCTAGTCTTTCACCACAGCAACAGAATCCCTAACTAACACATGAAGATACGGAAAACTTACATAGGATGACATTAACTATTTTTTAGTTAATTATTTATTGAGTCAGTGATAAAATATTTTCCTTCAATGACACATTTGGGACAAAGTGGTTTCAATGTTGAATCCTACCATTCATTTTAACAAGAAGTAGCATAATTTTCTTAATTTCTTTTAAAACCTCAAAGATGAAAAAATTCTACCAACTGGTTTGGTTAATCCCAGCTTTACTCCACTAGGTAGCAAAACCAGATGGGGAACCAATAACAAAAATAGGACTCTGGGCAATATCCATGATAATATTTCAATTGATACATGAAATTTATATTATCAACTTTAAAAAATCAGTTAATGATAAAAATGCTGACTGGCATGCAGATCCCAGGCTGCAATTTATATATTTATATTTAAGGAGTGTGTCAAGAGGTCAGGGAAAATGTTAAAAAAACAAAAAGGGCACTGAGAGTTTTAAAAGTAAAATGGAGTGTAACAATTAGTCTTTACTCCAAGCCGCCGAGTCCTGCTGCCACGTGGGTGCTTTCCACCAGGCAGCCCAACTTGTGCCTGCCGCCACGTTAAGGTCCCAAGTAACACAGAGAGACTTCTATTAGGTACAAATGCTACTTGGCCAATGACTAGGATTTCTCATCTGCTAGCTCAGTCTATCATAAATCTATATATTTTATGAGACTTATCTTATCAGACACCAGCAGCAATCTTCCTGTCTTCCCTGACTCTCATGGTGACTCTGTGCTTTCTCCTACTTTTCCCAGAATCCTCCTTGACACCTAGTCCCACCTAACTTATTGCCTCATTGGCCAAACAGTGCTTTATTCAACAATCAATAAGAAACATATACAGAAGGACCTTCTCCATCAATGGAGTTTTCAGGAGGTATGGGAAGTGTAATACCTGATGTACAAAAATGTCAATACTGGATGTTGAAGGTTTTAATTGGGGTAGAGAGTGGAGAGGAAGAGCACAGAAGGAGATATAAAAGGGCTTATAAAAATTAAATGTGTTTGAAAATTGATCAAAACCCTGCTAATTTGTAAGGTAATTAAAAAGTAAAATAATAATAATGATAAAGTATTTTAAGTGTTGCTGTGCAAAGCTGTACTTTGAAATGAAGCCTCTTATCATGTATAATTAATAAAATTAACATACGTTAATAAGACCTTAAAACATTGGCAAAAAAGTTGAACATTTTCTCTCTAAAACCTGAAACAAGACAAATTTGGATAATTTCTTTTATTTTTAAACTTTCAAATGGAATTTTTTTGAGTTTATACTTTAATTACAACATTTTTCCCAAGGCTGTGAACTTTACAACTTTTAAGTCACTCATCACAGAGAGTCCCCCAAACTGAGAGAAATTGGATGGCAGCCCAGCTCTGAGAATAACAGCAATTCCTTACCAATAAAAAAAGTAGAATTTGAAAGATCCACCCCTGTCTATTAGCAAAGTCTCAGAACATCTAGTGCTGTATTTTCTCATGATTTTTACTTAAAGCTGGAATAAACAGAAGAATCTGTAGATTACTACATCAAAGGAAAGGCAAAAACAAAATGAACAAACAAACCCAAACATTGTGTCCAATACAAAATGGCACAAAAATAAGGAAGAGAGAAACATCAATACATGTTTATTGTTTCTTTGGGAGTTAAATGTCAATGGACTGTGGAAAAGGAGTCTTTTAGCCAAATTCTACTCAGTGGTCAGATATTAAAGAGCTCAATGCTTGGCTATGGCTCCAGTAACAGAATCCATTGTGTCAACATTTTGTATGTTTTGACTCCATTGATTTGAAGTTCCTACATTTTCCATTCTTTCTTCACTTCCCTGCTATGGACAAAATGTTTAGTTACGGTCCATAGTTGATAAATTACTTGAAATGGAAACACACACACACACACACATATATATATATATATTCCTGCATATATAAATTGGAACATATAACTATGAGTATAAAATATATCCACACATGAATATAAAATATGCCACATTTATACATGAAATATCTAAAAATCTATATGAGAAAACAATATTTATATATTAAATATATAAAACTAGATATACCCATATATGAAACATACAAAATACATATGTATACATATATACATATTCATAAGCTTCAAACAGTGATATTTTCTAAGATTCATCAGAATAGGTGAATGTTCTGACATGAGACAGAATTTGTATTTTTCTAAGTTACTGGAGTAGGCTATATGGTGTCATCTTTCTTTAATCATGTAGAGGGGAAAATTCACTACACATCATGAATAAGGAAGGAGATCTTTTTGATAGAGCTGCTGGAAATGTGAAACAATGTGTAAGACCATAGGAAATTTTTCAGAAGGGTCGCTCACAAAATAGGACTAATGTGTTGTATTTATTGGGTTTTGAGGAAAAATCAGAAGGACTTTAATGAGTGCTTGTGAAGTCTTAGGCAATTTTCCACTTTGGAAGGTATTAAATGATAGCTGATCTTGGTTGATTTGGCTTTGAATTTTATCCAACACTGTTAACATTCTGAAGAACACTGGAATTCTGTGGAAAAATAGAGATTTCTCAAGAAATCAGTGGAAGACATTGATGTCTCTAAGTAAAGTCAACCTTGTGTTTTGGAATTGAGTTGTTTCATGGAGAATCAAAAACACACAAGTATTCAATAAATCAAGAAGGCAATATACAAAAATACAATAAGAACAAATATATACAGTATACAATGAAGAATGAAGAAATTATATGAAAAGTCTTTGTAACAGTGTGTTGGGTAACCATTTCTTATTTAAAGTCTTTGGAATCTTGAAAAATGACTTAAAGAAAATAAATACTGAATGGTGCATTTGGGCAAATATTTGCAAATCCTTCTACTGACCAAAGGTGTGAATGGAGAAAATGTTGAGAAATCATTAGACACAATCATGAGAAAATTAGCAACTGTCTCTAAGTTGCATAAATGATTCAGTGACAAACTTGTAAAATAAAATACACTAATAACAAATAGATATGATTGTGTGCATTATTTAGTATTGAAAATATATACTAAAGTTGGAATAAGCTATGAATGACCATTACCATGACCTATCAACAACTGAGCCCATAAAAGAATGAGAATTTATATCAATACAAAATTTCATATTGTTGAGAATATCAAGTTATGAAAATGTTTTATATCATGAAACATGCATATAGTTGTCTTTCTTGACTGTGGATGTCATGTGACCTACTACAAGTTCCTGACTGTACTTGTGGTTGTTGATGAACTGTAGCCTGTAATCATAAGCAGAATAAACCCTTTCTCCTTTAAAAAAATAAAAATGTTTCATAACATGAAATCAAAACTGTAAATTCTTGCCCAGGATATAAAACAGCATACTTCTTCACACTGAAACTCATGTTTATTGATATTTAATTGCATAAAAAATGATTAATATCCATTTTGTAATCAGTGGCCAAATGGTCTAACTGATTGAGAATTTGTCATAGTTAAAATAACCAGACTCAAAAAAACGCATTTTCCACTTCTTCCAAATGAGAAACTTGGACTTTAGGGACATGAATATTTGTGTTTTTGATAGTCTTCCCATGTCCACAGTGGCCAGAAAGGTCAATTTCATGGCTTAACTTAAATTAATCTCATTAGGAATAAATCAGAAAAACAGAATTGTTATCCATGGCTGTTGCTTCCAACCAGGATATATTGGAATTTCACTGTGGACAATCCACCCACCACATCTCAGGGCAAAGATCAATACTATAAAAGGTAGAGAAGATCCTGGGTCTTTCCAACACCTGTCAGATTTTGACCTCTGTCAGAAGCAGGAAATCCAGGCTCTACCATGGTGAAGTTCCTGCTGCTTGCTTTTGCATTAAGTGTGTCCTGTGCACATCATAAGATTCCTGAAATCAGTCCCTCAGAGGTATGTGCATTTGGGGATGAAAGGGTCTGGTGTGTTTATATATACCCTGAGCTTGGTTTGAGCATGTTCACAATATATAGTAAATATACATATATACCATATCCAGATTTGATCTTTAATTCAATCCTAGTGTCTTTCAACTCATGTTTTCAATGAGATTTGTCCACAGTGTGAAAGAAGGTTAAGGTGAAAAACTTCCAGATTGAACTTTCCCTGTGGTTGACTGACACAGTGTGAATTGTATTCCAGTATCCCATGCTCTAGTGTGAATGAGTGATGATGTCATCTCATGATTTACTACTCTCTAGGAAAAAGACATCTACATCCACTAGGTCTAAGTTTACGTGTTGACTGATCTAAAGTATATGTAATAATTAGAATGAGTGTTGCTGAAAAGAAAACCAGGAAATGAATTGACTAGTCAACCTTCACAATAGGGTCTGTGCTCCTTAGGTTGATGGGAAGTGGCGCACCCTATACATAGGTGCAGATAATACGGAGAAGGTAATCCAAGGTGGACCTTTGAGAGCTTACTTCCGGCACATGGAATGCAGTGATGAATGCCAGACACTCACAATCACATTCAATACCAAGTAAGTGACATTCATTCAATTCACAGGGACAGGACTGAGAAACAGTGACATGAATGCCATGTGAAATTTTCACTCAGATATGCAGGTTATAGATGAAAAATGGAGTTGGTCTTCTGGGAGTATTCAGAGAACAGGGCCTCATCCTGAGTTGTGTCCTTAACTTCAGCAAGATTGGCTGTGCTATTTTCCTATGGTTTTAGAAGGTTGGGTAATTCTGGTTGAAACCAGTCACAAATGGGTGGGTAGATAATTGAGGACAGAGTCTTCTCTTGGAAGGCTGGATTTAATGCCCATGCCAGCCATGACCCCATAGTCTCTGTTTCAGTCTTCAAAGATGGATTTATTTACCCAAATTAAAAATTACCCCAAGGCAGTTAATGCTACCAACACAATAATGAAATATTCGCAATCTGGAGAGAGTAAATTCAGAAGTGAGTTTTTTCTTTTAAGGGAGGAAGGCAAGTGCCAGACACACACAGTTGTAGGAAGAAAAGACGAAGATGGGCAGTACAAGACAGGCTGTGAGTATTTGTGTGTGTGTGTGTGTGTGTGTGTGTGTGTGTGTGTGTCTATGTCTGGGCACTGTTGGCCCAGGCTAAATACATAGGGGCCAGGATTCCAGAACAATTTCATCTGATAATTTCTGATGCAAGTTCAAAATTCTAATTAATCTTTGAAACATTTATGGAAACATGTGAATTTAATGTGGATTACACATATTCCTGGAAAAAATTATTAGATATATGTAAAAATATATCCTTGGATATGAATGTCACTTGGTTGCCAACCATTGAAAATGACTGGAAGATTATTTAAAATATTAAAATTCATTCTCAATATTATTTTCTTTTAGTTCTGATGATATGATTTTGTTGAATGAAATTTGTAAATTTTACAGATACAGAAAATCCTTAAGGAGTGAATTACTCAAATCCCAAAGCTAAAATCGGCAATATTTAATATGATAAATTGACAAAAAGTATTGTGTTTAATTTGAATTTTATTTAAAACCAACAACAGTAAAATTCAGATTGCTGTGCTTATTATTTAAGGTAAGTCTAAATGATATTCAGAAGACAATCCCATGATGCTTCATGATTGTTTTCTTATACTTTTTACTTTATGGAAAATGATATAGTGTGTTTTATGTTGTTGTTGTTTGTTTTTTGAGACAGTGTTTCTCTGTGTAGCCTTGACTGCCCTGGAACTCCCTGTGTAGAACAGGCTGGCCTTGAACTCACAGAGGTCTACCTGCTTCTGCCTCCCAAGTGCTGAGATTAAAGATGTGTGCCACAACTTCTGGGTTAAAGTGTAGTATTTTAATATCAGCCTGATGAGTTTTACTGTTTTAAAAGGCTGTGGAGAATTAATGTAATTACAAAAATTCCTCTTTTTTTGAAAATAGCATTTTTCCCATAAGAACAAAGTGGAGTCTAAAGTGCCTGTCCCTACTTTGTAGCTCTCATTTATAACTCTATATCATTGTAAAGGACATTTGTGAAGCAATTGAAGGAAGAAAAAACAGTGTGATAGATCTGTCAAATATAATGAAAAAACTACAACAACAAAAGCACGACAAATCTACTGAGTTCTGAGTTGTTTCTCTTTTAATTGCAGTCTCTGGTAACAATGATTTCCACGTTGTAGAGAAAGCAGATGGCATCATCATCTTTCACAACGTCAATGTCGACAGCAGTGGAAAGAAGACAAATGTGATTTTAGTTGCTGGTGAGTGTGGTGCCTATCATAGGGCTTCTATTGCTGTGATAAAACACCATAACCCAAAACAAGCTGGGGAGGAAAGGGTTTATTTGGCTTACACTTCCAAATTGTAGTCCATCATTGAAGGAAGCCAGGACAGCGACTCAAACAGGGCAGGGACTTGGAAGCAAGAACTGACACAGAGGCCATAGAGGGGGGCTGCTTACTGGATGGCTTCTCATGGCTTGCTCAGCCTGCTTTCTTATAAAACTCAGGACCACCAGTCCAGGGGACATACCACCCAAAATAGGCTGGGCTTTCCCCCATCTGTCAATAATTAAGAAAATGTACTGCAGTGTTTTCCACTGTGTTGAGCTCTTCCATATCAACTGTCAATCTGGAAAATGCCTTACCAGTTTTCCCACAGGTCAATATGATGGAGCCATTTTCTTAATTGAGGTTCCATCTTCCCAGATGTTCTTGGCTGTGTTAAGTTGAACAAAAAACAAACCACACCCCTAAAAGAGTCCCTCAAAACCTCAGCTTGCTTTGTTTGACATAACTGGGAGGGGATGGGAGGGGAGGGGAGGGGCAGGGTGGGGACTGAGGGTTGGAGGTGGGTGAGTGGTGGATAGATTGGGAGAGGTGAGGGTTGGGTGGTTTTTAATTTTTGGTTCATGATTTAACTGCTCATTTCAATAATAATCAAATTCCCAAAATAAGATGTAACGTCAGACCATGCAAATATTTATTTCACAGGTTCCAACCACCAGGGTTCCATACAGGCCTTTTGAAAAATGTCATGCTCAAGTGGAAAGCATGAATAAATATAATTCTCATCATCATAACATAAAGAAGGCTTAGTCTTTATGGTGGGCAAGGTCAGGGTTCATCACATTTTGACTCCATTAAATGTGTTCCGTTCACTTTAGAAATCTTAGACTGGCTGGGCAGTGGTAGCACATCTTTTTAATCCCAGCACTCAGGCGGCAGAGGCAGGCAGATCTCTGTGATCTTGAGGCCAGCCTGGTCTACAGAGTGAATTCCAGGACAGTCTCCAAATCTACGGAGAAACCCTGTCTCAAAAAAAAAAAAAATCTTAGGTTGAGCAAACTGAAGGTGGTTGGGATAAGGGAGGGTCCAGAAGGTAGGATGTTTCCATGGGTCAGTACTGCATGACCCACTGTAACTGGGTCTGTTCTGAGTATCTTAACAGACACTCTGTTTTCTGTTCCATGCAATGTAGGAAAAGGAAAGAGTCTGAGCAAAGAACAGAAAGAGAGGCTTGAGAACATAGCCAAGGAGTTCGATATTTCAAAGGAGAATATTCAGCACTTGGTGCCCACAGGTAACACCATTGTGTTTCACACAGCAAACAAATGCATCAGAAAATATTCATAATAATCATTGATTCACCCTTTTAAAATTTAAAATCACTGGAAATACTAAGGAACTCTAACAATGTTTTTTGTTTGTGCTTATTTTCTCCCTCTCTCAAAACTATCTTTCACAGACACTTGTGATCAATAAAGACACTGTATGGGTGAGTACAAACAGCGCATAGGAGTTTGCTCATGGTTTAATCTGCTCAAATTCATTCTTTAGTCTTTTGGTTATGTATTTAATAGAGGAACTCTCTCTCTTTCTCTCCTCTCTCTCTCTCTCTCTCTCTCTCTCTCTCTCTCTC